ATAAAAAATTATTTTCATTTTTAAATTTTTTATATAATTTTGCTTATTTTGAGTACCAGGTTGACATACATTAGAAAAAGTTTTTTTTTCAAAATATTAGGGACCCGTCAAATTTTTGAGGGCCTTGAGCTACCCCTAAAAATATTTTTTGTTCAAAAAAATTTTAAACCTAGTGTTTTTGTATTAGATAAAACACATTTAGGGGGTACCAGCAGGTTTTTCTCAAAAAAGTTGTTTTAAGCACCACCATAATATATATATATATATATATATATATATATATATATATATATATATATATATATATATATATATATATATATATATATATATATATATATATATATATATATATATATATATATATATATATATACATATATATATATATATATATATATATATATATATATATATTTATATATATATATATATATATATATATATATAAATATATATAAGTATATATATATATATATATATAAATTATATATATATATATATATATATATATATATATATATACATATATATATATATATATATATATATATATATATATATATATATATATATATATATATATATATATATATATATACATATATATATATATATATGTATATATATATATATATATATATATTTATACATATATATAGTATATATATATATATATATATATATATATATATATATATATATATATATATATATATATATATATATTTATATATATATATATATATATATATATATATATATATATATATATATACATATATATATATTTATATTTATATGTGTATATAAATATAAAAGCGGTTCTTATAAACTAGCGGCTTTCGACATGTTTTTATGATGTTTCTTTTCCTTGTTATTTTGTTATGATCTTAAAATTACATTTAATTCGGACCGTAGAGAAAACTTTACTTTTCGGAAATTTCGATTTAGATATGGTCTCAAAATTCCTTTTAACTCGGATCGTAGAGGAAATATTACTTTTCGGAAATTTTAATTTAGATATGGTCTCGAAGTTTCTTTTAGTTCGGACCGTAGAGAAGACTTCACTTTTTAACAATTATTTTCCCGCTTTGTACATCATTTTTACATTACGACTTATATCGTTGTTTTAGTATCCACGGTTAGTTTTCTAACCACTCATTTTCTTATAATTATCTGGTTTTATTGCAATATTTAGTTAGTCTTGCTGCAGTTTTTGTTGATATATTATTTATCTCCTGATTTCTTTTTATTTTTACTGTTTGTTGCCTTCATTGCTCAGATTTGATTTAATTTTCACCGGCACATTTTTCATCTTTCTTATTATTCAGAGAATATTTTTATATCCTTCATTAAATGTTTACATACATGCCGCTTACATTTTTAAGGTTTGTGTGCAAGGTTCTTTTTCGCTATCATATATTTTTCAACTATTGTTATGATTATGGGTTTCGCGGGCTGCTCATTTTCCTACACTTTTGATTGGTTGTCATATTTCGAATGAGGAATCTATGATAGCGTTAGAGTTTATTTAAAGCTATTGTTGTTTTGTTGATATAAATTTTTTTTCTAATTAGGTATTCTGCTTTCTGATAATAATACCTATTTGGTTTTATTTCTTAAAATAAATTTATGAAATTTTTTTTTTATGTTTCTATCAGAATTTTAATTTATTTTGTTTTCATGTTTTCTTTCGGTGGTATGGTAAGTTTTTTATTTATTTATTTTTGTTTTTATTTGTTCAGTAAATTTACACTTGTTATATCATATCATCAAAAAAATATTGGTGCTTTACAAATTTGGGGTTGGTTGGGTTTTGGCTATTTGTAGTGAGTCCTTTTTTACTGCAGTATGGAATAGGCGTAAGTCACGGGGTAAAGCATAAGTGTCGATGACAATTGTCTGACGGGATAAATGCTGATCCTCATTGAAACGCCAGTAATAATAGACGCGACTCTGAGGAGATGTTTATTACTTAATCACTACACAAATTATGTTTACACATTAGCATTAATGTTTTTTTTCCATTATCAAATGCCTCTCATTGCTGTTATCAGATTTTTTATTTTGAGATCCGTTTTTTGTTTTACAAGTTTTTGTCTGGTGATATATATCTTCGTTCATATTGGTATTTATAAAACAATTTTTTTTTATTTTATTTTATTCTTATTGTTATTATTGTTGATGGTGTATAACCTGTCTTGTTTATTTTTAAATATTCCTCTAATTAATATTTATTTTTATCTTGACAACTGTCAAAATATGCTTTGTCTAATAAATATATCTCCTTTATTCTAATGTACTTCATTTCTTCCCTCAGGCGTTCACTGCTCGTGTGTGACCATTCGGCGAATTTTATATGCCAAAAATTTTATAAAATATAGCAAAACTGTTGTTGACAAATATTCAAGAGTAAGAACAAAAAATTTAGTTTCGTTTTTGAAAACGTATAACATCAAGAATTGGTCTACTCTTTATTGAAAAATAATTGGATTTATTTAATAGAATGCCAAAAAAAATCTTTTATTATTGGACGTTACAACTACCAGGCATCAATTGAAGAAACAGAAAAGAAAGAATAAAATTATTTGCTGTCGAAATAAGTTAATTATGGAACAAACTCAACTTTCTAAGTATTTCTATAAAATCAGTTGCAAGAAAAATTAAAAAGGTTATAGAAAAAGATGACAAGTATCTTAAATAGCCTGGCAACAAGGAAGAATGCTTTGCTTTTGGAGATCTTTTTGATATTACAAATATTAAGAGCATATGGCTTAATCTAAAGTATAAAATTTTTTATAACATACAATTATTAAGTTCAAGAGAGGTTGGTCACAGTACTAACACACAAGTATCATTACATCCTTCAAAAGTCAGAGTTTGTAATGCAAAAGATACAAGTTCTACAAGAAAAGCAAATAATTATCCTGTTAGCAGTTCAACTGCATCAGAAGAAATTGGTTCAGATTTAGATTCACAAGACAATTATAAACCAGTGGAATAACAAAAATCAAGAAAAAGAGTATATAATAGAACCAAGTTAGCATCTAATCTTGTGATAACTGAATCTTTAAGTACAAATAAATCAGTTAGAATCTGTAAAAAGCTCTTTCAAAAAGGTATTGAAATAGAAACTCCAAGTTAGACCGCAATATGGAAATCAATTATAAGACAAGGGGAAAGTATGATGAAAATTGTTGTTAAAATGGTACAAGTAAAACAATTCTGCCTACATTTTGATAGAAAGAAAACAAACAGAACTGAATACTAAGTTGTGATACTTCAAAATGAGAAAAGGAAAATTAACTTAGGAATTGTTAAATGTGAAAGTGAAAAATCCAATGACCCGACGGGCATTTGTTTTTAAAAGTTACGTTCTAAATGTGTTTTAAACGTCTTTTAAACGTCTTTTAAACATTAATGTTTTAAAGACGGTTAAAAGACATTTAAAATACATTTAGATCGTAACTTTTAAAAACAAATGCCCGTCGGGGATATTTTTAAAGCTGTTAAAAAAATTGCTAAATGATTTTGACGCATGGAAATGTATTTCAAAACGTGACACAAAAGCAGTAAACACAGGAAAATTAAATGGCATAGTTGTAAAAATACAAAATGAAACGGAAACCAGAGGTTTTACAAAACCACAATATTTAGGATGTCAGCATTATATACTGGATCTCCTTTTAAAATATATTTTAGATCATTTTGCAAATATCATTTTGTAAATCAACAAGTTTTGGTTTTGATTATAAATTTGTGAAGGACTTAATCTAAAATTATGAAAATCTTCAAAAAATTAAATATATAAAGCTGAGCCTAATAACTACATAAATTTGGGATGACGAGATGACTTCAAATTCCTTTATGAGTTATATAAATCTTTTAGCTACTTCAAGAATCATAGAAAAATTACCAAAAATTAAGTGGCACAAACTTCCTCAATTAAACAGTGCTAGATGGAACTCTTGAGCATCATATGTTCTTCTTGCCTATTTTCTTATTTTCTTATTATTCTTCTATTTTCACAAACAGGGAGGTGTAAACTTAAAATAGCAGCAACTTTTGTTGCAAATAAATGAAAAAAACTTTTGGTTCAGCAAACAATTCTTTGATGATAAATCATATGACTATATGCTTGATACATTGACTGAAATTAAGTGTACAGCTGCTTTAAAGTGCTTTATGAAATACTTGAGCAAAGAAGATAGTGTAATTCATATTCCAAGAATAAACATCATTGCTGAATAACGCGTTAAATTGATAAAAAATCTCTTACAAAATTCAAAAAAATAGGAATATGCAAATGTGAAATTTTTTGAAAAGAATGACTCGTGAAGCGTTAAAACTAACTTGCTGAAAATAATTACTTTTATTGATCCACTTAAATGATATGTTTTTATAAATACTAAAAGCAATTTGCAATTAATTTTATTTATTTTTGTGGCTGTTCATAAATGGGTTGTAAATAAGCTTTATGTGTCCTCATAAAATCTATGAAAATCACGATATTGTCAAAGGGGGGTGGGGTGGGGGGATAGGCAATATTTTTGAAACTAGACTACCATTAAACAAGTTTTTTATCAAATACTGAACATTTCTTATTTTTATAGAAGTATGGCCACAACAGATTCAAATAATGACATAACCCTTATGTGTGTATATATATATATATATATATATATATATATATATATATATATATATATATTTGTACTGGAAATTTTGAAACCAATTCACCATTTGTTAAAACTACAAGTATAACAATTTATACTATGAACACCTTACTAATGTAATGTATTAAAACAGCTAAAATATTAAAGATACTAATTAAATATTAAATTGAAGTTTTTTAGAATTAACATTATGATATATAATTTAAAATAAATTAGTGAGTTCAAAATTGCTTTTTAAATTTTACTGCATATAACTATTATGCTATTATAAATGGACTTTTAAGTTAAATATGCATTTAAATTATGTTTTTACTGTTTTAGAAATGGGTGGCAGCGTTTATGGATTAGAGGAAAAGTAAATAGTTTTTAATTTTGCGTAATTATATATATATATATATATATATATATATATATATATATATATATATATATATATATATATATATATATATATATATATATATGTATATATATATATATATATATATATATATATATATATATATATATATATATATATATATATATATATATATATATATATATATATATATAAAACTGTCAATTTAATTTATTTTGCACCCGTTTTAGAAAAGAGTTGCATCTCCAAAATGCAAACAAAAAGTTCGTTTTGTCCGATACTTCTCTTTTCTATATTGGTTTTCAACATAACCTTTTTTTTAAATGATAATAATTCATTAATTAGTTCTTCGCTTTAATTATATTGGCTTCAAGTATGCTTACTTTGTTGCACTATTGTCAGATTTAAAATTTAGAATTTTAATTTTGCTTATTGCATTAGGAAATGATTCTTGCTTTTTTAAGTTACTTTTCAATTCTAGCGTTAAGGTATTAAGTATAGCTTCAGTTTTATTTCGCTTTTTAGATTTGAAGTATTATTTAAAATTATAAGTTTGTTTCCAGAGTCCCACCCTATATTTTGAAAAATAAATTGTAATTATAAAAATCGATATAAAAATGCAATAATTGATAGAATGTACTATTACGTAACTGCCAACCTTAATTAAGCGAAAATGTAGATCAGCCTAATGTTTGTTAAAAACAATAAAGTCACAGATCGTTATAATCCGAATCAATTTTTACCAATTAACCAGCAACAATTTCAACTTTTTCAGTGGACTAACAAACCTCAACGTCGAAAAAGTGGAAATACAATTGATTTTAAAAATCAAAAATGAATCAAAAATTATTTTAATTAACATGACTCATTATGACTTATTATATGACCTTAAGCTCAAACTGGAATAAGAAAAACAGCAACCAACTGAAGCAGAAAAAAAAAATGCCTGACAGATGTTCTAGTGAGAGAATATTTGATCAAAACAAAACTAAAGCTAATAAGAAAAAATAGAAGTTAATGTATAGTTAAATGTATAAGTTAAAAAATTAAATATATAAGTTAAAAATTTATATGTATAAGTTAAATCATTACTTCTGAGATATTTTTTACAGAGGTAATGGTTTGGAAAATAAAAATGAAAATGACATTTATTGTTATAGATTTTAAGTTGATCGCATTTTGTTTTTTAAAATTTAGAGTTAATTCAATACAATACTAAAATAACCAGTGGTTTTCCGTACACTACTAAGTACTGAAATAAGCATTTTAAAACTTAGAGGAACAAATTTTTTTTTGAGACCCCAAAATTATTTGGATTCAAGATAAATATTTTCACATTGGTTATCCTAAGTTTTGTTGCACGCCGTGGCTCATGAATAATGATGTTTCTTCTCAGTAAAAAGCACAAGGACGAAATATGAAAAAAAGTAAAAGCCTAAATAAAAAAATTCCTATATTCATATTTTTAAGAAACATACAAAACACATTTTTTCATGTTTTAAGCACTTTTTTAACATTTTAATAACCACGTGCACTAGAGTAGTTCAGGTTCAAACACGGCAATGTTCTTTGTGGTTGTGTGTTAATTTAACGAAACATCTGTAAGCTGAACGCTCCTTTTTATTTTTTCCCAAGCTTTTTTTTATTTTAGTTTTAAGATATTTAAGATTAAAACACAAAGCATGTTTATATTACAAAAAATATGTAGCTTTTTCTGTGGAATATTAAAGCATTGAAAAAAAATTACGACCTTAATGCAATCTACACCTTGTGTAAGTTTAAAGAATGTTAATAAATGGTGTTTCATAAAATTTTCTGACAACTTCTTTCCTCAAATAGAAAAAAGTCTAACTTGATGGTAATCATTGATCATAATTTTTAGTAGTTGACAAAAAATTAATCTAACATTTTTGTTTATATCTGCAGCCTAAATCAAACCTTTTTCTGATCTATCCTTTATGCTTTGGATCTCTTTTACATTTTGAATCCCTATTATGTATTTTTTCTATTCCGGCACTTATGTCACTGGAATAACTGATTATTTATATTTTTTAACTTAAATTATTTTTTTAGAAAAATATTGCTTATAAATTTAAAAAGATTAAACTGCTCTCATTAACTATTTTTTAGAAAATAATTGCTTAAAAATTTTGTACTTTTTATTATTTATAACTTATTATTTATAACCCTTACTCAGAGCTTCTATTTATCTAATTTTTTACTTCTTTTATGTTGTGTTTAAATATTTTTTGTTAAGCCTAATAAATTTAACAAAAAAATATTGAAGCAAAATAGAAAAGAACAAAAATAATTGATAAATAAAAGCTCAGAATTAGGGTTTTAAATAATAAGTTGAAGAAAAGTATAAAATTTATAAGCAATTATTTTCTAAAAAACAGTTAATGAGAGCAGTTTTAGATTTTGAGAATGAGTTACAACTCTTATATGAAAAATTCAGTAAAAAAATATTGACTATGAAATCTCTTGAATTAAAAACTTATCAAGAAATGTTTACTTAATTAAAATGAATGAATTTGTTATAAGTTTTCAACTCTTTGAAAAGTTCTGAACCACAGGTTTTTACAACTTTCATATATTTGGATCTTCAACAAAAATTTCCGTAGCTTGCCCCTCCGGAACATTCATCAACTGTAAACGTTTCAACAGTAGAAATTATCGTAGGTAATTTTTAAAAATGTTTTACAACATTGAGAAAAATCATTTATTGCATAATCGGTAAATTGACCAGATTGAATCTAAATTATAATCTAATCTAAATCTAATCTAATCTAAATCTAAACAGATTGAATCTAAATTTATGGTAAAGAATATTATTTATATTTAAAAAAGAATAAAGCCTATTATACATAACTAACCCTAACCCTGACTTTAGAAAAACAATTAAGAATTGATATTAGACAATAATTTGCAACTTCAAAGATCGTTGCAATTTTTTTGTTTTTGTCAGGCGATCTTTGCTGTTATCTTCAATAACAACAAAGATCGCCTGATTTAAATATTGGAATCATTTTTGCAATTTTTAGGATTTTGAAAAAAGCACCATGTTTTAAAGATAATTTAAAAAAATGTAATAATGGAATTGTGATGTTTTTTATCAATTTAATAACGACATTATTACTTATAGCATCAAAACCTACGCTTTTATTGGGCTTTAACAAAGAGACTGCGTCTATAATTCTTTTCCCTTAAGTTTAGGATTAGAAATAACACTAATGTTGTTTGAGGTAACGTAAATGTGTATTTGAGAAGTTGCTATATTTGATGATAAAAAAGAAATTATATTTTCAAAAAACTGATTAAGTGTTTCAGTAACTAAGGATTTATTTACAATGTAACTGTTATTAACTTTAAGATTGTTCGGAAGTAAACTTCCGTATAAGCATTTTTTACTAATTACCTCCATTATAATTTTACATGCTTTTTTTGAATCTTTTTTGTGTTTAATTTATTGTTCTGAATAGTAATGTTTCTTCGAACGCTTTAACACTGATTCGTATAGCCGTTTATAGGTTTTGTAATTAGTTTTATTTTCAAAAGTGTTTTTTTAAGAAACTTGTTATGTAAACATTGTTTTTTTTTGAGGACTTAGGAATGCCCCTCGTGATCCAAGGGTTTAAATGTGTCTTGGTTTTGATAACTTTAGTAACTTCCGGGAATACTTTATTATAAACATTAAAAACTTCAGTTAAAAAGATATCATATTCTTTATTGGCATTTACATTTATTTGAAGGGTGTCCCAGCTGACACTAGTTAGAAGTTTATGAAAATTTTTGATGGAAGCATCGTTTATGAACCGTGCTGTAATTAGTTTTTTTTATTTCACTAAGAACATCATAGTTAATGCATTTTTGCGATAGAATAAAAATAGGGAAGTGATCAGAAATGGCAGATTTAAATATAACTGTCCTTATTTTAATATTTACGAAATCATTTGTAATAATTTGATCTAAAGATATTGTATTTTCTCGAGTTACTCGCATTGTTTTTTAATTGGGGGAATATAACCATTTTGAAAAATTCTGGTAAAGAAGTTCCTAATGTTTTTATTTTTGCCGTATTTTAATATATTAGGATTGATGTCACCAATTATGTTAACCAATTTATTAAGATGATTTTTTTAAAATTATATTCTAATGTAATTTTCAAATGTCTTAATATACCTGAGGGCGGTCTATATAAAGCATGAATGACGATATTTTTTGAAGTTTTGTTAATAATTTCAACGCATAAAGATTCATAATCATTTGTGGTTGAACTTAACTGTAGTTTCCTTTTAAATAAATTTAAATTTTTTATGTATATATATAAACCTCCACCTTCCTTATTTGATGCTCTAACTTGCTAAATTACTTTATAATTTAGTAATTAAAAAATGGAATTGTTTTCAAATTTTACATCGTGACACCTTGTCTCGCTGAGAAACCTGATTACCTGAAATCTAATGTCAATTTTATGTAAAAATTGTTTCAATGACTCAATGTTTCAATGTTTTTGAATACTTCTAATATAATATAATATATATTTCGCCATAAAGAAAATATTTACAAAATCAGACTTTAAAAACTGTATATACACGGCTGGGGCAAGAGGAAGACAAATTCAGTCTTATCGCCAAGCCCCTTCAAACAAGAATATAAGTAACAAACAAAACAAAAAACCAAAAAACCAAAAAAAATCCGTTATCACAATATAATATATGCGTAAGGTACATATATAAATACAAATATCTAAATATTTTTAATTAAAATTTAATTTTTTTTAATTTTTTTATTTTTTTTTTATTAGGATTTCAAATTTTATTAGTAAATAAAAATGAGATAAAACATGATAATTTAAGAAGGTAAAGATTCAAATTAAAATCAAAAATTAATATGTTAAAAATAAATTAAATATCAAGTAAAAAACAAGTGATTTACTTACTCCTATTTAAAAGTTTTAGAAGAAGTCAAGTTCATTGTCAATTATCAAAAGT